GCTGTAGCCCACGAAAGCTTATGCTCAAATAAATTTGTTAGTCTCTAAGGTGCCACAAGTACTCCTGTTCTTTTCTCTGTGTCTGTATCACATGCAGCACAATGGGGCTCTGATTCTGAGTGGGGGACTGCGAGTATCACTGCAATACACATAATAATCTGAGAATATGACTGGCTGCCTTGATCATATATCCAGGGCTTCCATCAACAGACCCCAGAGCTGGCCTGGAGTAATCCTGTTGCCCTCTCAGGAGAGGGCTGACGGGTTTCAGTGCTTCAGTTCTGAGTTTCAAAGGAATAAACTGTCCCAGAAGCTGAGCTGGATCCTCTGCACCTTTATGATAAGCTGCATTGCCCAGTTTAGTTCTGCTTCCCAGGACCAAACAGATGGCTGGCTAGTCTGTCAGATGCAGTGGTCACACCTGGCTGTGACACAAGCAAGTTTATCGTGCAACAAACTTTCTTTTCCTTGGGACAGGCCCTTGTCATCAAAGCCATTCTCCCCTGGAGTTAATATGGTCAGCGTGGGAATTGGCACAAGGCCATGCCTAGCAAGAGGAGCCAGCTCAGGATTGAGGTGTGTTGGATGCATGCTGACCATGTGGCTTGTCCAGGGCTGACTTTTGTGTCTCTAGTACTAACTTTTTCTCTTCACCAGATCTGACACTGAGACCGATGAGACCATCCTGCAGAGGAGACAGAAGCAGATAGACTATGGGAAGAATACTATTGGTTACCAGCACTTCCTACAACAGGTCCCCAAGTGAGGTGGTCCCTGGCTTTCACCTCCACTTCCCATATAAGCCTGCTAATTCAGACTGTGACCACAGGCTCCCCACCAAGGGAAGAGATACCTGAAACTGATGTAAAATGACTTCCTTCCCTTTGATCCTGCCTGAAGGCAACTTCCTTTCCCTTCCCCCTTCCAAAAGTCCCAGAAACTTGACATATTCAGGAGCCTTTGGAGCGTGTTTCCTACATCCTACTGGGGCCCTATTAGTGCCATGCTCCTGCTGGGTTAGGGTGGTCTTGATGCTGGGGTGAGGAATGTTTAATGGAAGCACCTGGTCATTGATAAATGTCATGCTTCATTCCCAGGGCTGCTCGGCAGTCAGGGATTCACCCCCGAACTCCAAATAAGTACAAGAAATATAGCCGCCGCTCCTGGGACATGCAAGTCAAGCTGTGGAGACGGGCATTGCATGCCTGGGACCCGCCCACCCAGCATCCTCTCATGTGTGGACAAGGACTTCCAAGGAAAGTGCCTGCCAGTTGCTCTTGGCCCCTCTAGAGTCTTACAGGAGAGAAACTCTTGTAGGGGGAGGAAGGGGCAGAAGCCTAGCAACATGAAACATGGAGGATCCACCCAAATCAATGGGTATCCTTCCCAGCGCTTCCTAGAATCCCTCTGGATATAGTGGCCATTACACTGAGCTGCCCTAGGCAGCAAATAGCTAGAGTGAACGGTATGTTAACATGCCTAGGGGGGCCTCTGAAGCTTGGCACTCTGGCACTGAGAGGTAGGTATCAGGAGCCTTATACCATAGAAGGGAGGGATTGCTGCAAGCAAATCCTACCAGGTGCTCAAATGTCCCAGTGGTGAGCATAGTATAAATTCCCCAGTGCTCTGGAAAATGCTTCTCTGTGTTGTATGTGGTGTGTGCCTGCTTTGCCATCACCCCCAGCTGCATAGTGGGCATTGGGGAGAAAAGCACAGGGGACTGGGACCCCAACTCCTGGGTTTGATGAGAGAGCAAGGATTAGGTCCAGCATCTCCTGTCTCTTCTGCCAGTGCTCACTGGAGAGGAGTCCTGCCTACCCCTCCCAGCCTGGACACAAGGAGGCGAAGGGCCTGATGATCTCTCCTAGGTTTGAAGCATGGAGTGGGATGACAGTGCTGTTCCATGTGATGACCAGTGCTGATCCTTTCCACTGACTGAGTCAGTGTGATTTAAATTGCTGTTTGTTTGCAAGGCAGGAGCTGGTGAGTCTCTCAGGAATGACGGAGACAAACTCTTTATGCGGCTTCTCAGAAGACTGGCCTGGTGCCCTGAGGCCTCTTGAAAATCTGCCAGGAGAATCACTGGGCGGACAGGTATTTGGGCTTTGATTGGGCTTGCTTTCTCCTGTTCCTGCTGGTGACAGGGACTTAGGGCAGCAGTAGGGAATGCTATTTAATGGTTCATTGCAAGCACAGGAGTACGTAGCACAGAGTGATCATCAGCTTGTCAGGAGGGGATATTGTCCGTGAAGTGCAGTCTGGAAGTCTTGTGCCTTCCTCTGGATACTCTCTGATGCTGGAAAGTATTGTTGGTCATTGTCCTGGGGAAGGGGAGAATAGGGGGGAAAGGATCCTCAGGGCTCAGCATCCTCTCCAGGGGGACACTGCCATGCTTTGGATTGCAGGCGTGTGCTTCTCACATCAGGTTTGTTTTCTTTCCTTCCTATTCATTTGTCTGTATCCTGTTTTCACAGTTTGCTGGCCTGTCATCTCCTGGCTGCTCCTCTCCATGGCTGCCCCAGATCCACTCCAACTTGCTGCCCTTCCTAGGAAACGCGCACACCTGCCCATACTGCTCCTGGATGGGGCTATGAGGAGAGTCCAGAGCATTTTCTGCCTCTGAAACAACAGCATTTGGGGAGTGGGAAGAGCTCAGGCATCAAGTTTCATACAAGCCCAGCTGCTAGGATCTCCTGAGCTCATGGAGGACATGGGATTATCCTGAAGCTTGC